TCTCGGTGTGAGCATAGTTTAGAAATTAATCTTACCTAAGCAAATATATTTTCATACTTTCCTTCGACAAGCTGGATCGTTCATGTGTGATATGATTATACAGTTTCGTAACTCTGATTGCTCGATCTCAGTGTCGTTAAAACGAGAAGTCGGCAGAATTTGAAAAATTAATGTACTTTTTATCAGATTGTTAAGGTGAAATTAGATCTCAGTTTAATTCTGATACGATTGATAAATTTTTGATAAATCTTGAACGCCGAGTGAATGAAACTGAATAGACTTGATTAAATTTCTAAAACTTGTTTCTACTAAAGTCAGATAGTAAAAATTGCGAAGAGTCACTAAACCGCATACAATTACCCCTGATTTCTCTACTTTTCGAAACTTTCAAAAAAAAAAAAAAAACTTCCCAAGAAGAATTCTCAAATACTTGTTGATGTCTCTATTACATTGTACAATCAAATTTCAAGTGGGCAGTTCAAAAGATTTTACAAGAGAAACGAAAATTCGCTACGAAATAATAATTTTCCAAATTTACGGTCGCTATGAATTTGGAAGAAGAGATTCACCTTCGAGTGAAATTTCGATCGTACAATCTGCGCATTGTTAAAAACGTGTTACAACAACTTCGACAAGATGCTCGAAAGTTTAAAAAGTCGGATTGAACATAAGATCGGCTGGAGAACAAATAGACATGTTATCGTGGAGGCGTAAAGAACACGAAGGATCGAGAGATGGGAGAAAGAAGCCATATGATCGTCGACAAACGAGTGGGTGCCACAGAGAAGGGAGAAACGGTGGAATCCTACTCTGGCCACTTGTATATATTCCATTTCGATCGATATGACCGGGTAGCAGGTGCTACGCGCTCGTAAGGACTTGCCACTTTTACCTTTCTTTCTTCCTTTCTTTCTTCCTCCTCGTACAGTGACTTTTACACTTCGATTGATGTCCCTTTGTACGATCGATCGCGGCTTTCAACGACCATTGTATTTAATTTTCAAATCGGCCGTGAACTTGTTTACGTACGCTCCAAAGATATGCGAACGAATTTCGTTTAACGAAGGAAAACGTAGGTTTCGATGGTTAACCGCTGTAGCAGAATAACGAAAGTAAAGGTTACAGAGTGAATCGTAACAAACAATACGTGTCGTAGCGTATTAAGATTAATGGTAAACGCTAATATGTTCTTCCATTAATTTCTCGTTTAAAGAGCGCCTGTGGAACGGATGAATGATCTACGCGTGTGCATGTGAGTACATATTACGACATATGTAGCAACATGCCTCAAGCAAAGTGCAACACCATTTTCTCGTTAAAATATGCTATTTAACAACGACTAGTAAATATTATAATACACCGTGGGTCTAAATTTATGAATGAATTTGAATATGAATGAATTTAAAGAATGCAAGGAAATCTTATGGTTCAAAATTCCATTTAATTATTATTTTGATATTGAGCCAATATTCTATTCTTTAACGTTATTAAAAAAAACTTCAAGAATAATATTTTTTTCGAAGTGTTTTATTCAGCTTTTACAAATTTAGGAAATAAATATAGAACTATTTGGTAGTCCTTAATAGAGTGTGAAAAACTTGTCAAGTACTATTTAATGGCTACTATTTAATTTCCTGACCAGCAGATAGTATTAACAAGTGGTTAAATTGAAGTTCTCAGAAGCCAAACTGATCAACTCCACTTTTTATAACTACTTTAATTTCATTGACCAGACAATTAACCATCAATTTTCAAGAAACCGACTTGTATATACATATTTTTTTACCGTGGTAATAAGAATAAAGAATTCTAAGATATAACTTAGAAAAAAGGATTTGCAATATTATTTTTTCAATTCACGAAATTAATAAATGTTTAACCAATTATTTTAACCATACATCTTTAAGACTCTAACAATAAGAAATACGATATCTAATCTTAAATATCTACATCTATATTTAATCAACAGTATACTGAATATCCATCTCTTTTTTTTTCATAAAAATGTAATTAAGTTTTGCCCCAACGTGTCTTGAAATAAAAATTCTTCTCAATTTTGTTCTAAAACAAAAATCTATCTTGCAAAACAAAATGATGCGTTAAACGAGCTGATATTTCGCAGAAAATCGTAACGCGAAAGCGTGACAGTGTTTAAATAAATGCGAGCAAATAAAAGAAAAAAAAAATCATGAATCACCTGTACAATTACAGTACAAGTTTTCCCAGTTTCGAATCGCCTATATGAGTACGTATCGATGAAATTCGATGACAATATATTAATTACTAGTCAGCGCTCTTTTTATTCAGTGAATAGTCAGCAAAAATAAAAGGCTTACGCGATTGCAACCGAGACTATGCGTCGACGATAAGAAGCCGGACGAAAAATAATCTAAGGCTATCGAATAAATAGTACCCTATTTACACACATATATATGCATTCTACCGATCTACAGTAGTCCATTCTTTTTCTTTAACTATGTCTCCACTCTGTTGCGTCTCAAGAATATGCTCCGTTCTGATGTATCATCTTACGCATGAATCAGGTACATTGAAACACTTTTTATTGTGCTTCTCTGTCGTGGAAACACTATACATCGTGTTTCTTTATGGGATATGGTTACGCAATATCGTTACGGAGAAACGGAGTGTTACAACCGTAGACAATCGGCGATAGTCACAACGTACACGTAAGCACAAAATTTTCTCTCTTTCTTTCTCTCTCTCTGTCTCTCTCTCCCTCGTATCGCTGTATGTACATACTATGATGTAATTGTTTATCAAATGTTACGTCGAAATATCATTCGTGGAGATGGCTCCTTCATATGGTACATACATACATTGTTATGTTTACAAAAAAATTGAGTGAAAATAAACGACCAAGTGTTTTCCGAGAAACTGATGTTGTTACACATAAGGGATATAAAGTCACGACGTTTCTTGCGAGTCACGGAAACATATCAACATAAAGATGGTGGCGTCTGAATTGAATTAAATTTACATTTAAACGCGAGGTCGTATTTTTGGTAGCACAGGGTCTTTCGATCGAGAGGATTAAAAGAAAAAAAAACACGCGTATCGTAACGTTACTGTGAAGAATCGTTGGGATTTTGGTCCATCTCTGGTGATCGTTTAACGATAAAACGGAGCGAGGATAAAAGCGGCGAGCACGGTGTCTCGAGAGGAATGAAGAAGAGCAAGGAGAGGGAGAGGGGGGAGAGAGAGAGAAATAGAGAGGGAAGGGGAGGGGTAGAGTTGATAACATGCCAGCTGTGCGCAGCAACGGAGGTTAGGTTAGAATTGGCGTTTGGGGGTCGCGAGGTCAGCCCACGGAATCGAACGACCGAACGGGATAGCAAGATAGAAGGTGCTACATATATAGATATAGTGGCTTGCTAAGGAACGAAACTTACCTCGTTGAAGGCCATCTTCTTCGTTATGCTTCCGGACTCGCGGCTGCTTCCGGCACCTCCTTGCCCCACCGCTCCTGTAGATGAGGATCGTCTCCCAGAGCCGCCGGACTAGTTGTTCCAGCAGCAGCTGATCTCGCCTGTCCAGAAATCCAGCGGAGGACGAGAGCACATCGAAGCCGCGAAAAACGCCACTCGCGGCACACTGAACACGAACACGAGCCAGACCACGATGACGATAGCGACGACGGCGACGACGGTGACGACGACGACGACACTCGCGACCGACCTGTCTTACAGCCCTCCGCGACACACATACGTCACGGAACAATTACGACCGTACACCTTTCCGGGGGACCACCTAACCAAAACCACTTTCGATCGACTTGCACGCGATCCGTCACGCGATTAACATCCCCCTGCCAACCGAGTTGCTACACCGAGGATAATCTGGCATTCCTCAGGTGGGCACCGACAGCACCTTCAGCCGATCTTTCCAAATTCCGCAGTCGGCTTACCCGGCTAACCGTGCCCTACAGATATCGCGACGCTTTACCAATCGACTGTCACTGTACGACACGCGTGTACGAATCGTCACGATCCGCTCGATATCCCGTAACCGTTTCTCGCACTGTTTTTTTTCACGTATTTATATCCGTCGCAGAACTATCCGCAAACAGAGGAGCGCCATCTTGATTTTTGCTGTCGCGGAACGAGCCGAATAAGATGCGCGCGACGCCGACACAGCTGTGAACGGGTGCCATTCCCAACGAATATCACCGCTTTTCGGAACACATGCGGCCGAATACCACTTTCCAGTGTTTCGTTTCTCATTTTAGCGGGCCATTTTCTCATCTCGTCGTTCATACCCTCCTACCTTTTCTTCGATTTTTCCCTCTTGTCGACTTTAACTAATTCGTGCAGTATTGTTCCTCTTTTTCCCGGTTAATTCTACCTAGATAACATACGAATGAAAATTTACATTCTAGATTGTATATTTCAAACAATATTACACGAAATTATAGCAAGAAATTGTACAAATTGTACGATTTTTTTTCTCCGCATTCTGATTGGCGGGATATAGACAGAACTTTTGGAGTACTTTTAGCGTAAAATTTGAATGTGAATATTTGTAATACGCACTACTCTGTTAAGTAATAGAAATGGTAAATAAATTATTATAAAAGCTAAAGGAATATCGAAATGTGTAAGAATTATACTTTTTGTAAGTTATATTGAAGTATTACCCAAAATTTTGTCGAAAAAAAGACTGCAACGAAGACCGATAGTTTGACAGCGAGCGCCATCTTGAACACTAAATCAAACATGGCTGCCAAAACTGGCTACATTCTGATTGGCGGGATATAGACAGAACTTTTGGAGTAGACTTTTAGCGTGAAATTTGAATGTGGATATTTATAATACGCACTACTCTGTTAAGTAATAGAAATGGTAAATAAATTATTGTAAAAGCTAAAAGAATATTGAAATGTGTAAGAATTATACTTTTTGTAAGTTATATTGAAGTATTACCCAAAATTTTGTCGAAAAAAGGACTGCAACGAAAACCGATAGTTCGACAGCGAGCGCCATCTTGAACACTAAATCAAACATGGCTGCCAGAACTTCGGTGTAAGTCAGTGGTGCAGTGTACATGTTAGCAGTGCTTGGTTTGTTATTATATTGCGGTGTTCGCGTAGTGTTCGGTTATTTTTATATGTAGTTACATTTCCCGTGATTAATATATTAATTAGCTAAGTGTTTATTTAAAAAAAGACAATAGTAGAGCTTTTTGAAATGGGCCGTTCGAGATCCAGGACGAAATCTCCTAGTAGGCGGCGTCATAAGAGCAAACATTCGAGGAAACGCTCAAAATCACGTGAGAAGCACTCCAACAACAAATACTCCGACAAGCCAAAAGAACGTAGTTCCAAATCAAGGTAATATATCTCACTTGTTATCGAGTATATGCATACTGGAATCGTTTCGTTCTATCGAGATTTCCGCCATTTTGCTATTCAATAGGAGAAATCTTTTGCTCAGATACATGTTACGTCTTGTTAAAGAATTATGTCTTCCATCGTCGTATATATCTTAATGCGTTGTAAGCAGTCTTCTATTAATAAATGTTGCAACGCAGTCGATGGGTTTCAGTCCATTTATCTTGTTTGTTGTTGCTTCGGTATTATTCCAGTTATATAAAATTCGGATGCATTTATTTATGCGCACAGGAAACGATCCCATTCTGCATCCTCTAGTTCTGGCTCAGATGCTTCGGATGATGTACACATTGTCAGTCATAAGAAACGTTCATACAGAGACAGAGATCGCAAAATGGATGAAGTAGAGAGGCTGGCAGAAATGGAGCGTCAAAGGTAATTAATTATTACAATCTAATTGCTTTTTTGTTTGATTTACTTGCTTCTGTATTTTGTTAAAATATAGTCTTGACTAACAACAATTATTTATATTTTTTGTTTTGAATAAAATGTTAAAATATTATAGAGCATAACATATTAAATTATTTTTTACTATTTCCACATGCACTTGATGTTGTAGAGCTATTAAGTTAATAATTTCAGACTTAGAAATTATATTGTATATCTTTTGTTTTCTTTTTTTTCATAATGAAAATTTTGTATTATTAATTAATATAACAAAATTTATCTTCTATATTTTGATTCTATTGGTATACGTTTTTTTTATTTATAATTATGTTGTCAGGAAAAAGAAAGAATTATCGAACAAAATCTTCACCGCAAGTGCAGTTGGGTAAGATTGTATAACTATCTCATGGTGGTGGTTGAATTATATCATATATATACATATCTGATATTTTGATAGATATTATTTTGAAAGTTTTCATAAATGCTATTCTATAGTAATATTCTTACTGAGTTTAAATATATTCTGTGTCACTAGTATATTACATTTCATTAAATCAGAGAAATACATTTTTCCTATGGTTATGGTTATAAATTATTGGAACAAATTTTGCAAAAAGCATGCATATATATTTAAAAAGTGTATGCTACTCCTGTAGCATTAGAACAACAAAATATTTCTGTGCAGAAGGCAACGCGAAGTGGAACAAAAAATGGTGGAGGAAGAAGCTGCAAAACGAATAGAAGAACTAGTGCAGAAAAGGGTGGAGGAAGAACTAGAAAAACGTAAAGAGGAAATAGAAGCTGAAGTACAAAGGAGAGTAGAAGAAGCTAAAAGGGCTATGGAGCGTCAAATGATGGAGGAAATGGAATGGAGACAAGCAAAACTTCGTGAGGAGGAGAAACGAAGAGAGGTAAGACCAATCCAGAGAAACATTGGCCAGTGTTAGCCCAAGCGCTGTTTCGATCAACAGGAAATAAGTCTGGTGCTCTATCTTTGCATAATTTTTATACTTAGATAAACGATATATTTTGGTAAAAACAGAGCTATAATATAATTGAAATATATAATAGAAGAAATATATTTTATAATTTAACAGTTTGACTGGTAAGATGCAATTTAATTTAAACGTTTTTTAAACTATAAAAAGAACTATAAAAAGAACTTAGGTACTACATGTACTACATGTTTGCGTGTACTGACGTACTAAAAAGAAAAAATTAAAAAATTCTAATTGGATATTCCAAAAATGGTAGAAATTACTAGTTGAACATATATCTATGGTGAAACTAACATGTGTGATTGTAGCGCTATGTTAAGCCTCTATTTCGCGATCACAGCGTTTGGGCTTGAAGCATTGTGGTTAATAACTATGAGAGAAAATTATTATTAAAATGCCACATTGCTTCGACTTCCCAGCATCCACTGAGGTCGCGTTGTTGGGAATGTATACTTTCCCTTGTGGAAAGAATTTTGCTATTATAGGCGCATGTATCGAATATTTATGAACAAAATATTGTATTTGTACCATGTATATATTTATATATTTGTACAACATTAATACCTTTCATCACACAATATTTCGATTGTCAGTCGTATCTTCTATTGAAAAAGTTGCATTCGAAAACAGTTTTTGCTTGCAACTTTTTACAATCGTCATACCTGACAATCTGGCAGACCTAATTACTTATTGATCTAGTTTATATCCGCGTGTGAATGTCCACATAATCGCATCGTTTAATCTCTTAAAGAGTAGAGAAAGATAGCATCCAATTATTTAAAGTTAGTGATCCCAAACTTTGTAACTTGCTAAGCAGGAAAAAAAAAACAATCGTAAGTTTGAAATAAAGTTATTTTTCTACGAAACTGTATAGGAAAGTGATATTTTTCCCTGAACAGTTTTTGCTGTCAGTGATACGATAAATTTAAAGATTTTTTTAGGAAAGATCTTGTTGAATTTTAACTTTAAGAATATGACCATTGTTTTTAACTTTATTTAGGCGGTACGATAGCAATGATATTTCTATGTTTATGGAAATAAATAATTGCAAATTAGATTTTATTCTTTTCAACGGATATCGTTTTTTCATATACGAAAGTATTCAGTTTTTTCTTATGTTCAATACATAAAATGAATAAAATTGTATGATATTTCTATGAGAATTGAAAATAGTATACATAGTTCATCAAACTTGAGAGGTTTGCATATTATAACGAAAATAAACAATAGATTTACTAATAGTTTTAACGATAATGAACAGAAACATTTATTTTATCCCGTAACTTTGCATTCTAAGCTCTAACAGCTTTAATTAATTTAGTATAAAGTTTTACCAATATATTCTGAGTTACAAGAAGGGGTCCTGTTATTTGATCTAATTGGCAAATGATTTGAAAGTAACGTATTTTCACTCGTATTTAAATATTCACATTGTTTTCTTGAATAGTTCATTTTCCTTCGAATACGAGTAGAAGGTTTTCTTCTACTGTGTTTTTTTATGTATATGCACAATTGGTTATTTTCACCCTCGGGAAATCAGCACGTTCCGGTCAAATGGACAGCGACCCTGATAACAAGTTGACCATACTTTTATCCTTATTGCTTTTGCACATTGAGTTTGCACTGAATATGTGAACAAGTTTGGGAGAGAATTAATTAGAAAGGGAGAGGTAGATCTTAAAGGGCAGAATTAGAAATCCCATAGCAACAAAGCACGACCTAGCAATATATAGGTCACCTTCCTTACTGACTACCAACAGAAGATGCCGGTTTTTTACTCACTGCTGAGTGATTGTCGATGAAGAAGGCATCCCCTGCGTGCTGGCGTGAGCTTCATTCAGGTATTATCCAATTTATATATTCATAATTCATTTTATACCGATATTATTATTATCATTCTTTGTTTCAACACTATGTATCGGAAAGACAATACTAGGGATTATTTTAGATTTGCTAAATATTAGTACCTGGGACACAACGCATTTCGTCGACAGATCGGGGCGGATGGCACCACTCGTTCGTAAATATTTTTTTAATACGTTTTCCATCATTTTTTTTCTTTTTTTCTTTAAACGCACCATCAGTCATTGTCGAAGATACATGAGTAATCATTATTTTCTGTAAAAATACGTCGTATCTTTTTTCTAAGTTCTTTTTTATTTTCTTATTTTTTTCTTTTTTTTTTTTTCTTAATAAGGCATTCTTACACCTACTGCATTTAGATTTTATCCTGCACTTAACAGAGTTACTCGACGTGTCGCGTTTAAGCAAGGAGAGTTACAATTGTTCTGTACGTCGTTTTGCATGCACAGTGAATTGATTCAGAATCATAATTCACGTTTTTTTCACTTTCAAGTGGCATCCTAAGTCGTCGTGTTTCCATCTGGGGAATCGGTCACTAAACAGTATTCGCTGGAAACTCAAAAGGAGCTCATTTAATCCAAACGAAAGGAACATGGGTTTTATATGTACATCCTCCGATTATTTTTGTCTCAACAAAGTCATCCTCGTTCTTTAAAACCTCGACCTCAAAATTTCACAGATATATTCCCGACTATTTTTCCCATATGTATACAAAAAAAAAAAAAAAAAAGAATGGTTCTTAGGATGTGTAACACTAGGCTGTTGAACATAGCGGCACTATGATTTTTGGATATGATAACAACAGCTGGTGAACAACACCATCATTGCTTCATGTAAATAGATTCCATTGTCGTTGTAGGAGGAAGAGCGGAAGAAGCGCGAGGAACTAGAGAGGATCATGGAGGAGAACAACAGAAAAATAGAGGAAGCTCAGAAGAAACTGGTAGGTCCAAGAAAGAGGACGTAGACGTGCCTGTTGGCCATTTAAACAAACGTTTCTTTTCGATAGGCTGAAGAAAGATTGGCCATGGTTGAACAACAACGTTTAATGGAAGAGGAAAGGCAAAGAATGAGGAAAGAACATGAAAAGCGTGTTAAAGAGGAACAAAAGAAAATCCTCGGGAAGAACAACTCGAGGCCTAAATTGTCCTTTACGCTAAAGCCAGTTACGTGAGTCTGTCTCATTACGTGCAGTTTTACATGTGATATTTATACATCTTGTCGATATTGGTATTATTCATTTTCCGCAAGAACATTTACCGTAAGCTGCGCGTACATACGTACATGAATTGTGCAGCGACAAAGATCCAAAGCTCACCCCGAATGTATTTGCGATAATCACAGTCGAAGTTCGGCGAACGTTGAATCGTTTTATTTAATTATGATGTTCACGCACGTGCGTCAGAATTGAATAATTCGTTCTATACTTGCTCGATTTCGAAACCCGATGCAGGCGGGATCTCACCTGTACGAGACTACACTGATGTCAACACAGGCAAAGCACTTCTGCCAATGGCAGGGACGTAACATAGAGCCAGCATTTGTATTTATTCACGTTGTAAAGTTTCTTTTTTTTTTTTTCTACAGTATGAACGATAAACGTTCTTGCACAGGTTCTTGCTTGATCTGTTTGACAAAAGTGTAGTCTAGCCTAGATAGGTGTGTTCTACAAATTGCAAATGCAGTTTACGAATGTCGTTTCTTCGTGACTATACTGTACAGAGGATAATTTTATTTCAGTTAGATGTATCAAAATGAGAATCGTATTTAAAAAATATTCGCGTTTGTGAGTAAAAATGAGAATTTTCAGACGGTCACACTAACAAATACGACCAAAATAGATTTTGTAATTAAACACAAGTGCATAAATGAATTTTCTACGAGAATAGATTAAAAACTATTGTGTATCTGTAACAGGCCAATTTCGAGAGAATAGTAACGGAAGAGTTAGTTTTTTTTTTTGTTTTTTTTCTTTAGTACGTTAAATCGAGATCGTTATGGATTATGCATACGTCTAGAATTTAAGACAGAATTCGTTCTGTCAGCGAAAAGTCGAGGAAAAAAGAGAAAAAACCAAAAAAGAAAAAATAAAGTAAAACTGTTCTTTTCTAATCAAAATTAAATTAAGAAATAATGCTGATGAAAAGACAAATGAAACGTTGAATGAAAGCATTTTATACCCGTAAGAATGTACAAATGCAATTACGAACAAGTATATCTTGTATGCATTCGTGCATAGATGTGTATTAATATAACAGAAAGAAAAACATCTGTTCATATAGGATTGTATACTCAAGCATTGTTACTTGTAAAATAAACACGTTTTTATTAAATCTTACTTTATGTCTCCTTCCTGTTACAATATTCTTCTTATATGAGGAACTTTTCACCATTTTCGAGGTGAATTCGATGGTGAAAGTAACGCTTTGCCGCGAATTCCAAGACTCACTCCTTTTCCTAAAACGTTTCCGTAAAATGGATTGCGTTGTTTGAAGATGCACTCGAATTTACCGCGTGCAGCTTTCTTGTTCTTACGTCTGTCTATAATTACTACAAACGGACGGAGTTGTTTTTCATTTAATTTATTTGGTGCAGCTTAACCCGTTAAGGACCAGTCAATAATTTACCACAATATCATGAGCATTTATTTCAATTTCCTCGAATTTTATAAAGTTATAAAATATCTAAGTGGCCGCGCAATAATGAGAAAATTGATTTGAGCGAATTCTTGGAATTTTCTTTCGCAGATCCATCAAAAAATAGAATTTGATTATTCAAATTAGCCCTTAATGGGTTAAAAATAATCACTTCTCAGCAACTACCTTTAATAGTATCCTCTATTATTTCTGGATAAAGTTTTTCAGTAACAGTACTGCTAGGAGGATGCAATCGTGGATTCGTATTGATTTCGATTAACCAAACCGATAGGTCATCCATTATTAAAAAATCAGCGCCGTATAATTGAAAGCTGTTTTTCCGATTGACCATGTTTTCCTGGGATGCCAGAAGTGCTCCTATTAAATTTTGCTTTATGCCTGGTTTAATGAGCTTCTCCCATGCTGACTCCCGATCGGTATTTCTGAAAAAAGTAGACAATCGACCTAATTGCTCGACGCTTAACAGTCGCATAGAAATGCGTACTTCAGATATTCCTTGAAGTTCTGAAGATTCCAGTGAAGCTCGCTGGGTATCTGCGCGTTCTCTCCCACTGTCTTCCTGTACTTCAGCTGCACAGTCGTGTTGCATAAATGAATCGATTCGTGGAAGTTATCGAGGGTGAAATCTCTCGACGCGAAACGAAGCAGAATATCCCTTTAAAACGAATGATTCTGTGAGAAAATGTTGAACGAAACGAGCGTTGTGTTCAAATATTGGAGTGAAAAATCAATTCACTTGTACATCCAAACTACGAGGGGTTGCGTGCTAGTTATCAAAAACCATTGTCTAATATCAACCTTCGTTTTATGAACGAGCAGAGGCTGTTCTAAAAAAAATTGATTTAATTAATCAATTTATTTTTAACACTCTGCTACTGTAGAATCGATCGAAGATTTACCTATGTACTTCTGCACGACGTACTGCGTGCATTCCTTGGTAGCCTGGTTTATCTTGCTTAAAATCTCTTGCAACGAACTCTTCAGGACTATACCTTTTCCCAGACTCTTGTCACCTGGTTTTATAATCCAGACGTTCCTCATCCCGTCGATTTGACTCTGACCACGACACTGCGTCATTTCTTTTATCGTGCTTGCAATGAATCGTAAGAGTTCCTGATAAAAAAATTTTCACAATCCAATTTCAGTGACTAATAGGACAGTGGAAAATATATTTTTCTTTTGCCTCGTATCCTGACAATGTTATTGACATTAAATATAAATTCACCATAGTCGATCAATTGTATTAATTGCATACTTCGATATCTATGTTGTCATTCTTCTCCAACATCCCTCGTCTATGCAAAAGTTGTTCGTGCCAGAATAAAAATTGATTCCAGTCGGAAATCGATATTTTTTTGTAATTCTGTCCATCAATATCTTCGTGTGCGCAGATGCTGCGATTTAAAGATTTCTTTAAAAAAAGCTTCGAGTGTTTGATTTCGTTTTAAATCTTTTTAAACCTTATGTATTCAGCGCATCGCTCGAGAGCGAATGAAATTGCTTTTATAGGGATAGTGCCGTCTTGGGACCAAACAGCATTCGGTCCATCTATAGTAGCCAAGAATAAGAACCACTTGAGAATTCCCGTGCAAGCTGTGATGTAAAAATCCCGCACGAATTCCTCTACCTGCGCTGGCTGCACACGTGCGACACATTTTAATCACGAATGTCAGCGTGCAGAGAAATTTCATACACAAACCTGATAAACGTTATAGCATCGTGGGAATTGTACGTTTGACACGCCAGTTTCGTAGAACCAAGAAATATTCTCCAAATTGTTGCACATGTCGACCTGAAATCGCTTTAATGTGAAGGTTAAATTAAAATGTTAGATTAGAAGTGACGAACAAAACCTTTGACGTAAAATAACATCCGCAGAATTTGTTAACTATGGTCTTCTCATCCATTCTAACAGGTGCCCTTTTATTAGTGTACCACAAAAAATTGGCAGGATAACGCAATAACTTTTCGATCGTTTCCAGGCCGGCTGAAATACAAAGAATCTGTGTATGTTTCGCTTTCACAGCGAATGGAATGAATTTCTGCGAGCAACCTTCCAAGATCTCCGGCGACATCGACAGCATTCTTCTGATAAACCGTTTCTCTATCCAGCCCCTTTTTCCCAGAGGCTTTCTCAACGGTGGGAAAACGCCGTAAATCGCGAAAACCTTATGCTCGTTCACTGCCTTCGTCAGAATCTTCAGGATGAAATTGATCTTCGCCTCTTCGGTGGAGAGAAGTCTCAAGTATTCCCTCAGGATAATCTTGCCGTGAGTATTCACGTTTTCTTTCTCCTCTTCCTCGAGCAAATCGTCGAGATCGTCACGATTGCAGAGGATCTCGACGTTCGCGGTTCTCGCCGGTTCTGCGTTCGCGATCATTGTCGAATCGGTAACTCGTAAAATGATCTTTGACTCCTCTCCGATCTCCTTCCGGTCTTTCGAATATATCTTCACAGAAAATTTCGCGAAATAACAGTTGTTTTTTTTTTTAACACAAATTGCACAAATTCTGTTGGTTTTCTTAAATCAGCGCTTTCGTACCTGCCAACCTTGACAGTGTTCTTCAATCGTACAATCAGCAGAGGTTAACGTTATTTGCCATTTGCGCGTCGTAATAGTTTTCACGTCGATTGAACCTTCCAACGTGCGTTCTGCATTCTCTGATTTTCGATCGTTCTCTCGAATGTCGGGGAATCCATGGTTAGAATCTGCGATCAGATCCTCATCCCGATCTATCTGCTCGTTGTTTCGCAAAAAAGTTGCACCGTCACTCGTTTGTCGCATCGTGCAGCTTGTTTATCGACGAGAAATTTGTATATTTTAGCATGTTTCGTTCGTGTTGGTCTTTTTACATTTTAATTTACTTTATCATAAACTTCCGTTGACATTATTCAGCGATGGTATTCGTAATGGTAATCGATAAATGCGCTTCGATATTGCTCTATGTTCAGGATGAGAGTATTTTTTCTTTCTTTCTTTTTTATTCTTATTTTTTTATTTTTTTTATTTTTTTATTTTTTTTTTCGTTAAGCCTAGATAAACTGTTCTTTCATTATTCTGTCCCACGTATCTCTGTTCGTTCGATAGTTTTTCACGGCCTCGTGCATGGAGTCGTCCAAAAATTTTTCCACCTTTTGCTTCTTAAAGACTGGCTTTTGCAAGTCGATCGTAACCGCGCAGTTGTTCCCAATTTTCATTGGCTTTATCACTCGCACTTCTTGCTCGCTCCGGTTCGCTAGATTAGTCACTGTGATTTTATTCTGAGGCTTGATACTTTGAATCGAGCCCAAGTCCATTTGAGGCAGACTTTCCTGCTCGCTCATCTCGTGAATTACATCCCTCACTGTTTTTAGCAAACGTTTGTTCTTCTCGATCAGCATTTTTCTTTTGCAAACACCTGTTTCGTCTTGTACAATATTTGTGAAATTGTAAGACCTTTTGGTATCCTGAGGAATCCCTCTCACGCCTATAAAAATAAAAATATATGAAAATGTTGTAAAGCAAAGCTTACGCATTATATAGAGGACTGAGAATAATAGTAATGTAATTTTTCATAAAACAGTGTCCTTCATTCACTGTAATAAAAAAAATTCCCAACTAAAGTCTTAGTTAGCACATAATAAGTTGTTAATATTAAAAATAAAGTTATAACTCGATTAATTATAAAATTAAATAATTTCGAAGAATTCAACCTTCAAGTACACAGTCCAAATTTTCCAAATCTTCACTTACATCACTATGATTCTCAATGATGCTCGTTCAAAGAAAGAAATTGAATTTTCATCGAAATTTTACCAGACTGCACATTCCTGTTACTTCTCATACGTTCTCTTTCATGAAACATTTTGTCTTTGAATGCTATTTGCTTTTCACACTTGCCAGGGAATCGCGACGTACAGAATCTCATTCTGCGGTGCTTGTTCTTTAGATTATGTTTCTCCCTGAAACAGTTCGTCTTTTTTGTTAGCCCTGCAACTCTCGCGGAAGCGTTTTCAACTTCTCTTCGTATCGATCGTTTCTTCAAACGGAGTTCTGCGTTTCCATTTGAGCAAATGTATGTTTGATCAAACGTTACTCTCGCTGCATCGTTGTTTGTGCACGAGTTACTGAAATTCGTTGGCAGACACGGTGTTGCGTTCACTGGTTCATCAAATTCACTTTCCGAATCGGTGCAAGAGTTGGACAAATCGAACGATATCGAATTTTTGCCTGAAGACGGCGAAGTATCGTTTCTGGACTGTCGAGAGAAAGAGAGAGAATCAGAGTAATTTAATAGTAGGAAAAATAAAGATAAATCTTTAACTAAAAATAGTCGCGATATTTCACAAAAGATTGAGATTTGAATGATGCAGGTTTTATCAATATTAAAGTGATGAAGTTTCGTCGAATTTTATTTCAATATTATCGTCTTGTAATAATAGAATCATAGTATTATTGATCTTTTGACTTACTTTACTCTTTTCAAATAAAAAAAAAATAAGTATACTGAAGTAAAATTTCATTCATGATTTCTTTGTGTGGGATGGCAGCTTTTAAAAGTTAACCTTTGTGAAGTACCATACCTCGAATTTGCAATTGGAGCTTGGGAAAAAGATGCATCGAAAATTATGGTCGTTGAGAAGAGTATGATCGATATCTTTCTGATAATCTAGTGAACTCCCTGCGAACGTAGTATCTCCAGAATTCCAAGATGAGCCGACGTACGCCATTCCACGTAACAAGTATGGACAAAAAGAATGTATATCGTTTAATTCTTTTACAAGCGATCATCAAATTTAGAGGGATATTCTCGGAGAACGGTCGCCTCCATTTGTCTGATTATTCCACTTTAATAATTTTGATTTCTTTTTGAAGTTGCCATTGCCAAATCATTAGCCGAGATCATGATTGTTCGATGTGATAGTTGATTAGATTTTGTTTCGGCATCCTTTACAGGGAAATGAAAAATCGACAGATATCATAACAGTCGGTCGTGTAGTTGTTGTTTTTTTTTTTTTTTTTTTTTTTTTTTTTTATTGATCACTTAAACGTACAATTGAAACATAGACTTCGAGAGGAGATCGACAATGGAAGTAACGAGTGCGAATCACGAGAAGACATTTTTAATCACTTGGTCAATCTCAGACCAACGGCATACATGTCGGTGATATCTGACAGAATCTTGTTCTTTCTTTGACGAGGATACCTTCTCGGGACGTTACGATTTTTCACACTCACTGTTTGATCAACCTTGTTTGTTGCAGACAGAAGAGATGGCAACGTTGGTGTTTCTGAAGTAGTGGCGGACAAAGGAGTACTCTTGTTATATTTTTTAATCGCCTCTCGCATCACTGTCTTAATTACCTAATGCGTGCAAGAATAGATATTACACAAATAAAAAGTTAATCTGCAAAATTATGTCTACCTTCTCGTTGCTTGGCTTCAGAGGTTTTTCAATTTTCGGAGCCAGCTTTGTAGATTGTTTCTGGAAAGCCATGATCTTTGAAACTAACGATTGCTTTATAAGGGACGATTCTATTGTATTACTACTCGTTCCAGCTAAAGTATGTGATTTTCTCGGCATACGTACTATATGTCTCTGAATATTCCCAATCTTTTCCTAATATTAGATTTCTTATTTTTTTTAGTAAGATAACTTGTTAATTGGACGATTCAACGATTGGAATATATACCTGAATCGACGTAGGAGGTTTTGATTTAACGTTAGGCTTTGGCCCGCTCACAGGTGCACTTTTCACAGTCGATTCTTGCTTATCGATCAGCACGGCAGTTATTAAAGGCTTTGTTGGTGCACTCGTTGGCAGAGCTTGCCTCAACTTAGTCGAATCCATCTTGTAGTAAGCATAGAACTCCCGATCCAACTGTATCTCTAATTCCTCGATCAAATCAACGATCACTGGACCGATCTGATTGTGCGTCGATTTCTTCTTCGTCAAACAGGTCTACGATTATTTTTGTTTTAAAACAAACGGATCAAATCTTTTCAATGACAGCTGTTGCTTCTTACAGTTTCTAATTACTCTTTCAAAATTATAAGATACAAAATTTAACAAAATAAAATTATCATAAACTCTCGGGCTCCTAGGATTAAGAAATTATTCATAAACAATTTAAATTCCAGTTTGCCTACCATTGGAGATTTCGAAACAAGGCTAACTTTCGACTCTTGGCTGTTCAGAATGGACTTCTTCCCGCAAATAGATATCCTAGTGCCTTGAAGAGACAGAGCTGCGCCTAGATATGGCTGACAACTGGGCATCCTTTGTTTGTAGGCCAACTCGAACTGTCCCGTGTCCGCGTTTTTGTCTTCACGATGATCGATAACCACTGCGAGAAACCGCAAAGAATAAAAGGAGAAAAAAAAAAAGGGACAATCTTAACAATCGAATAGTTTCAAACAAATCGAAAGTTTCAAGCACCTTTTATGGTATCCTCCAGAACTTGCCTGCACAGGCGTGTGGTGACTTTGCTCGAGTAACTCATGTCAGGGTGGCTATTGATCTCGATCAGCCATACGGAAAAGTCATCCATAACCATAAAGTCGGCGCCGTACAGTTCGAAGCTATTTTTCCGACGGTCCATGGCTTCTTGGCTGGCCAACAAAGAGCCAACCAGGCCTTGCTTCATGCCAGGATAAATGATATCGTCCCACGCTTTGTCGTGTCCTTGGGACCTGCGTCGGAGTTTGCGTCAGTTTGAAAATTTCAATTTTGGCATCACGCGACTGAATAGAAGCAGCGCTTCTCATACTTGAGAAACTCCTTGAAGGTCGTGGCATCCCACATGTTGTCCGAGGGTAACGCAGGATTCCTATCGCCGCAGTTGGTGTACTTGCACTGGATCGCGTGATTGCACAGATGAATCGACTCGTGGAAGTCCGTCAAACTGAATTTCTGCGAGCAGAATCGCAGATAACTTTCTCTGCAAGCGCAAGAGATACATAATATGTTACCATCAGTTTCTTCGATGCTCGCATGTCGAATGTATCACTCGATGAATACAGTAATAGGGAAGCCATTTACTCAAACTGGGTTAGGAAAGATCAATTTCACAGCAGGTGAACTCGCGGGTGAACGATTTGCCTCAGTGTACAGTTGGGAAAACCAGCGAATTACCGTAATTCTAAATGTGTACCGAAGAAGTGGATCCTTCATAGTTTGCAAACTATTTCGGATGCACGTTGACGATAATTGCGATACGATAATGCGTCTTGTGCGCGTAATTAACCCAGATTTCTGCGAGCACGAGATAACGTGACACGAAACGAACAAATCGTTTTGAGTTACGTATACCTGTGCTCGTTCAACTAGCACACGATAATTGTAGCGTAAAAAGTTTACTTGTATATCCAGAGAGTCAGAGGCTGAGCGCAGGTAATGATGAACCACTGTCTGATGTCGAATTTAGTGCTATGTATCAGCAACGGTCGTTCTGCAAAGAAGGGGCATCAACTTGCTTTATTAAATTTCAGTTGAAAATGCTAATTGTATTGTGCTGCAGCAATTACCAATGTACTTCTGTATAACGTAACGTGTGTCTGATTTATTCGATGGGTTCATCTTCGCCATCACATCTTCCAGTTTGTTCAAGAGAACGATTCCACGGCCTCGACTTTTGTTCCCCGGTTTCATGATCCACACGTTCATCACGCCGTCCATGTCGATCTGTGGCCAGTACTTCTTCATCTTCTTCAAGATATGCTTCGACGCCAAGAAGAATTTCTGTTCACACCGTGCTAAATTAATATACATAGTTCCGGTGACGTTACTTCTCAGCGATGTCGATAGTGATCGAGTCGCTTACTTGAAATGGCACATTGTTTCGAATAAAGAGGGCTTGTCCGTGAACGATCTGATAGTACCAGCTGATAAACTGATCCCACTGATGCGCCCAGATCCTTTCCGCTTCTTGATCGATATCCTCGTGCGATTGTGCGCTAATGTAGTCGCTGCATCGCTTGATCGCGAATTCTAAAGCCTTCAAAGGCACCGTGCCAGTCGGCGCTCTAATCGCGCACTCACCTTCGTCGTTGATCTTGCTAACTAACCACTTTAACAGGCCTAGACACGCTGTGAATCTACAGGAATGAATGAACAGGAAATACAAGTGAGGATGCTGAAAGAAATATAATACGTCTTGGATTTCTACGAATAGTAGGTATGATTCACCGAAAATCTTCGATGAAAGCGTGCATCTGATCGCCCTGGCATAAATTATAGCAACGTGGGAAAAGGGTGTTCGCCACTCCAGCCTCGTAGTACCAGTGCATTTGTCTGACGTTCGAACACAAACCCACCTAAGGCAATCGATTTTCTTACAAGCGTGTATTATCCTCGTTCGATGTGCGCCTGACTGAAAGAAATCAGCCGAGGTCACTTCAGGTACCTTCGAAGTGAATCCTGCCCGGCAGTATCTGTTAAAAATTGTCGCCTTATTGTCCTGCGCTGGCCAACCGGGCCAGTCCGATCCAGTGTTCCAGAGGAAATCCACGGTGTAATTAGTGAGCATTCGAGAGATTAGTTGGCGTTCGCTTTGCTGATCTTTCAAATCGCCGATGCCAGCCAGCAATACCACAGGACTTGCATCCACATTCAAATGTTGCTCGGCTGTTGGAAAGTCAATTTATACAATCTATCAAAGGTAAACTCTAAAAGAGGAAAAAATATCTAACACGTTGATCGTCATCTATGAATGAATTTATGAATAAAACGAATGTCATTGACAGAAGAAAGATATCGATACCGTTTTTTCTGAAGAATTTTTCGCACCATCCTCGCTTTAGCATACATTCTCGAATCACTCGTGACCTTCCGTAAATCATGAACGTGTGGTGTGCAGCTATGGCATCTTTCACCATTTGTTTGATTCGCATAAACCGTTCGTGTAACGTCGGCGGAAGTTCCGAGCTGAATTGAAGGCCTTCTGTACGACAGAAATAATGTTAAAGTACGTGTTAGCAAATGTATGTTAAAAGATAAGTTTCGTATCGCACCTTGAATTACTTTCGTATCCGATACATCGATGTCTGGTGTCGATTTGTCGATTAAATCCAGCGATTCGTGCACGACAGAGTGTTCTTCATTCTTGTTCGCTTTATCCGCGCTGGTCGGCTCCAAATTCGATAGCGCCTCATCGTTCGCTTTCATGTAGCGCACTTGCAAATCCGTGGGTTCTTCTGCACTGATGCACTCGGTTGGCCTTTAATTTCGCTTCATTGCAGTAGAGTTTGTTGGAGGAAGCACCGGGCCCAAATAGGTCAACGATATTTTATCCTGGATCAGCTTGCAAGATTCGATAGCAGTTATCGAAATAGTGTTACGTAAAACACGAGACTTTTTTTTTTTTATTGGAATGAAAAGCTACGTTAACACCCTGCACGCGTCGAATTCAGACTCCCTCGGAACTCCCTCAGTACCTGTTGAATCCTCGACGTCCCATCAACATTCTTCTGTCAGACCCAGAGGAATTACCTTTGATTTCTAATTGACGAGACACAGCTACGAATTTAAACCGTTCGACGGAGGAATATATCCTCGTTGGTTGCACGATTGCAGAAACATTTCTCAGATAGATACGATCCCGGGCCTGAATCGTAACGAAGAATCAACGAGACGGAAGCGAAACTCTGACTAAACGTCATCGACGACAGACACGAGGCATGTGTTCGGAATCTAGAATTCCGTAGGCGTGCGCCCTGAAACTGTTTTAAACCGCCCTAACTATTCGGCGGATTGGATAAGATCGCATGACCGTGTCCTCCACCGGTTATAGTCGTCACATTACACGATTCGTGAATGTTGAATCAGCTGGCTGATAAGCATGATTATTTAGAATCTCCGAAGATCTCGAGCCATAAAAAATTAATCGCATCATTTCGTTTTTTTCTAATTACTTTATTGTCAGGAACTTACTAAAATAAGGCATCTGATCCAAGAACATTGAACTCATTCGCAATTTATCACTAACGTGGTAGAATTTTTTTAAAGTAATAAAGATTCAAATCGTTGTGTTAATGGTTGCATAACCGAAGTTTAGAGTGGGTAAAAACAGGGAGTAGGTGGGAGTTGTTGGAATAGGACGAGCGTACCAGGCACCCCTGCGGAACTTCATGACCACCGAATGCAGGCAAAGAAGCAAAAGCTATCGCGTGGGTTACCCTAACCACTTCTGCTCTACAACCTCTGACCCACTTATGCGAGCGCATCTTGAGGCTCGCGTGAAGAGACGACCTGACGAATCACTTCGACCTGCTATCGCTAATTGCCCGAGTTCGATTTCACGCTGATAATTTGTTGAAAATACACGATAACAGTGTTATCGTACCATTTGGAATTCGGTCGATCCTTACGCGCTTTTGTTATCGGTCTTCCGACTGTGTTTGATGGTCGCGTGAGATAAACGCGAACGTCAAAGAATTATTGCTTGTAAGATAGCGAGTACCTTGGCAGAATCGCGAGACCATATCGCGAATATGTCGGATAAACAACCATTATTCTTCCATGGTCCATTTCGTGATTTCGTATTAATGCTGTAGAGTTTCGAGAATTGCTTACCATTAGATATAGTGCAGTATACGTTGTGGGAAATCATAGAATATAGCTGTGCGACTGCATTCGTTTAGGATAGGGTACAGTTATATGTTGGTGCAATTCTTACTGGAATATTGAAAAGAGCACGAGATAAAGACGAACTCGGAGAAAACGAATGGTTTGATGGATAAACATGTCACTGTCGGTGACAGAAAGCATTTGGAAATGGTGAGAAATGAAGTTGCTCGAGTTACCCCACCATTAAAACTGACAATTTGTTTGTGGAATAATTCATAAATTACTTAGTATCAATATTTGTTTTAAATACAAAGAAATGCCGGGAATATTATTAAAAAATGAATATTATTGGAATAAATGGGAATTGTGTTCCTTCATGAATGTAGTAGTTATTCAAAATGGCGCGCCACAGATCGAAGAGGAAACTCGGCAATTTTTCAGTCGGTATAACAGCTCTCGTAAAACCACTCTATCTTAACCTTTATGTTGAAACGCAACGAGGTGGAACTATTTTTTACATTCCACGACATTAGTGCGTATGTGTGACAAATATGACTCAATTAATTGGATACTTCGCCCATTTATTATTCACAGAAGATTGCTTGGAAGAATATTTTGATGATTTAAATTTTTTTCATGGTGAGTGCTTAAATTTCATACATTAGCGATTAGTAAATTCTTAATTATATTTCTTAATTATAAAATTATAATAAATTCGTTTTCCATTTGCATAGTTATCTGTACACTATAAGTGCCCTGATCACGTGACATCGTTACTATTAAAAAAAAAAAAGCACTAAAATCTAAAACCAACACTAATTTCATGTATCTTATTTATTTTATAATTATCTTAATGATATAACATGTAATTATACAATTAACTTTTTGACATGTATAGATCCAAATTTAAACATAATACGATTTTATTTATAAACACACATTATAAATAAAAATTTCTCGCAATTAAAATATAAATATGGGACTTAATTTCTTTTTTACTTTTACAGGAGTCGAACTTTTACTCTTTTGAATAATATTACGGCGTATATTGCATTGAATAGTTTTTTGAACAGTCGACTTTGTACATGAGCGCACGTAACGATGAGCGCTCGACGACATTCAATTTTTTTTTCAACGATAAATTTGAAGTCATTATTCCTTCGTGACGATTTAAATTAATTCCATTTAATTAAAAATTAAAATGAATTTCTTGCGAAGAAGATATGAACCATTTCAAGTAAAACATGAAAATATTGAACATGTTTCAGTTGGATGCTTCAAATCAACGCTGAGCAAAGTTTTAGGTCTAGGAATCATTGGTGGCTCTTTTCTCGGTTAGAAAATTTATTTTTACGTAACGTTTTAATTGTCATAGGTCATAACTGTATATGTATAATTAATTTCATATACAATGTTATATTACCTATATTCTCTTTTTTCAGTTAAAGTACCACAGATTTTGAAAATTCTTAAAAATAAAAGTGCAGAAGGTATCAATGTCTTCAGTGTATTACTGGACTTATTTGCCATCAGTGCAATGGTATCCTATAGTTTTGTCAGTGGTTTTCCATTCAGGTAATGCAATTAAATATATAAATATTTTTTATATTTTTATGTACAGATATTATGATTGATCGATGAATGATTATATTTCAGTTCATGGGGTGATGGAGTTTTTCTAGGTATACAAACTGTAACAATTGCAGTTTTAGTCATGCATTTCAGTGGCGATACAGTTCAAGCAACTGCATTTCTTGCTTCTTATCTGGCAGTATTATTTGTTGCTAATAGTGGGTTAACTTCAGTGAATGTTCTTTGGGCTTGCCAAGCAATGAATATACCCATTGTTCTTGTCAGTAAGGTATGTTGTCTGAAAATTATATAATGGAAATACAGTTAGTGAAGACATATACAATAATTTTATACAATTTTTAGTTAATGCAAGCCTATACAAATTACTCCAATGGAAGTACTGGTCAACTATCAGCAGTGACAGGTTTTATGCTCTTTTTTGGATCTCTTGCAAGAATATTTACATCTATCCAAGAAACTGGAGATGTGACAATGATATTAATGTACATATGTTCCACTGCGGCAAATGCTGTAATAGCTGCTCAAATTTTGTATTATTGGAATGCAGATGCAAAGAGTAAAGATGCAATGAAGAAAGCTAAATAAGTAAATTAATAAAATTTGTTGTAAATAATAAAATAACAGAAAATCAAAATGGAAGAGAATATATATAGGGGGCTGAAAATAAATGACATATAATAAATACCTACATTCTAATATTGATAGAGTGAGAACAATATATTTAATAATTAATAAATATATATATATAATAAATTAATATTTTGGACATACGGAACTTATTGTTATTATTTATTGTTTTATATTTGTCATAAATCATAGTATGTTAAAAAATATAGAAATAATATACTAAGAATCGTATTTGTTATTATTTGTTAAGCGAAGATGAATAATCTGGATATTTTAGTGAAAATGTTTCATCAACAAGAAAGTGTATTTCAAATTGACCGCCAAACCGGAAGTGATATCATAGTCCCTAGTTACGGAAAGAGAAAAGGAAAAGCGAATCACGCAGGCGTTTCGAGTCTCCCACTTCCGCTTTTGTCGTAATCGTGACTTGTGCAGCGTATGGTGAAATATAGGCGTGCAGTTGTTTAGTCGTCGATAATGTTACATAGTGAGCAGTGTTAAAATTGGGAAACACGTTAACAAATCGTCGGAAGATAATAACGAAACAACGGTGAGTAATAATCCGGGGTTTTTTTTTGGCCAGTCAGGCATGCCCATGAAAGAAATGGGTGTGGATGAGTTTTGGAAAGAGGGCCATTTGGAGCGTCATGGCGCCATCAGCCTTGGCAATTCGGCTTCCCGACGACCATTTTGTTATCGATAAATCAATATAACGCGCCTTTCTTCCCATGTAAGCGTTTCTCTTGAGTAAACGAATATTTCACAGATTTATTCCGTTGCGTCATTTATATGATCTGCCAGAGGAATATCAACAGATACAGGTAAATTGTTCAGGGAACCGGTTTTTGGTAATTTGCTTTGTCTGAGCGCGTTCTTGCGCAGAATACCATTCCCTTTTGGAGATACGATTTATGGCCGACGAAACCATACAAAAACCGATACGTTTTTACTGCTATATCATTCGACCGATCCTTAGACGATTGAAATACCAGAATTTTCTGGATATCACCGTGGAGAGCCGTTTATCAGTTACAAACACGTGTCCTTGGCTGTTGGATGATGTCTTTTTTTGCATGCCAATTTCGGGCAATCGATCAGAGGCAGCTATTAAAAATTTTTGCCAATATTTGAATAATATCTTGGATATTGGAGAAAAAAGAGAAAGCATTACGAATCCGTCGATTTTCATAGTATTGCAGGACTAGGTTGCTTGCAGTACTGAATCAAAATGGAATCAATGGATGCGCGTCTTGTGGCGCAAGCATTGAACTACCATGGTCAACAGTTGCAGAAAGTGTGGGAGGGAGAACGCAACGAGAACGAGCTGGCCATGCTTAATCTCAAGGAACCAAATTTTGAAATCTACCAACAACGTCAAAAAACTCTGAGGTATGTATATGTTAAATGGATACGTTCCTCAACATTTTTGAGGAATAATCATACATTGGGTATTTCTAAATGAGTCATACATTTGAACTTGTTCTTTGTCCTGTAACAGTTTTGGTGATAGAGGAAAAAGGCTAAAGCTACAGCAGTTCCTTGCAAAAAAGGCAGATGCTCTTTATGATAAATCAAATTTGGAGAAAACAGTTGAACCTATTAAGCAAGAATTAGGAGATGAAGGTACAATTCCACTTCTTTCTAACACGCGATGACTCATCATGTATTGCGTAATGATGTGCAATAAATCTGTTGTGCATGTTGTTTCAGAATTTTATGCAACAATGCCAGGGCTTGATACTTTTGTCACCATGGAAAAATCTCAACGTATTCGGAATTTTTTGGAGGTGATTACCTATTATTTTAACAATTTATATAAAAATAAATAACTTGATAACTAAAAGATAAACTTATAATGAATTATATTTCTGTTTAGAGTTTGGTCATTGGAGATGTTATTTACGCGCAAGTGATGGGTAAAAGTGCTGCTGGGCTTCTTCTGAAGGTGCTTTGCAACTGCAGCGATTGCCCCAGAGTTGTTACTGATCTAGGAGTTAAGGTTAATATTGAGTTTTTCATTAAGTTATTGTAGGGGATGCGTCTCGCTGGCTTTGGGTTTACAACCACCATTAAACATGCAAAAGTAAAATGAGGGACGCATACCTGAGCACAGTACCGTTAGGCCCATAAAGTAATTGTGAATATAATTTATTATATTGGGATTGACTGACCTAACGGTGTACCTAGACTTACCTTCCCCATATAAGACCGACATGGTATGCTCTCTCAATTTTCTTCAGTTTCTGTAGCCGACTTGCACCGTTTACATCCATGTGCGAGACCCCCAAAGTTATTTATTATAAAATATCCGTATAACCTCTAATTGTGTTTAAAAATAATATTTTTTTGTAGGCTCTAATATTGAACACGGCCACAGTGCCGGCGGTGGACAAGAAAGGTGTAACAAGAGGCTACATGGCAAATGACCTCATCTGCGTCGTAGTCAGTGAAGTTAACGTTGAAGCCGAGCGAGTTGTTGCAGTTATGAACGTACCTGCCCGAGAAGGGCAAGCACCACACCCACCTATGGGACTTATCCATTCTGATGATCTTCCAGAAGCTTATAAGTAAGTAATAAAAAATCTGGATAAGTACGTTTACTCCTTGTATTTATAATAATGCTTCACTAACTCTTGTAAACTGATATGTATATCACTATAGGAGATTTTGTATACACGATATAAATGGTAAAAGTGTCTTGTGATGCATCAGTAGCACTTTTGACTCAAAATTTTTATTTATATTATAAATCGTTCTCTGATCATTTGCTTATTGCGATATATACTTTGAGAGCACTTGTGCACTAACAGAAGGCAGGGGGAATATTTTCTGACACTGGTAGTTTCGAATTTAGGATCAATATAACAGTTTCGATCGTGGTCGAAAATGCATCTTTTGTCGACAGTGTAGTTATTGTACTTGTAACTTGCATAATACGCGACAATACAGATTTGCATCTTTAGTGTTTTGTTTAATATTTTTCGTTATAAAAGAAGGTAAGGAAAATGGTACGGTGGCCAAAAGAAGTTGAGATTTAACAGACGCACTGTGATACTAACAAAACAAGGTAAATTAGATTTGATTCCTCTTACACGTTTTTATGAATTTAGGTGCCAGACACTCTCAGTAACGTAAAAAGTTGATAGTCAGTATGATGATGAATTTATAATGTGATACAAATGATTCAAACCTTGAGCATTGGTTGACATGGCTCTATTGCGCACAATATTCTATCTACGTTTGTGATATGTTACTCTCAAAGCACCAGCCAAACAATGGCGCCAAATGACATCAATGTCTTTTGAGGTTGCATTTCCAGTATGAGATGTTGAGCCTTGGGTGGCCAGAGTGAGTGCTGCAGACGGTAGGTATAATAATGATTTCCTGTTGTTTGGTCTCTTATCATAAACGAATAATATAAAATAAGTAAAAAATAAAGTAATTGAAAAATATTATATGGTAGTTTAATATTCCATTAAAATATTTCCATATTTGTGAACTTCTTATTCGAGTTTAATGTGTAGTTAAAATGCATGATACATCAGTGTATTGTCGATGTTTCGTATGTATCGCGTAACGAAGTTGTAGTAAAACTTTGGACTACTCAAGAAGTTAAAGCAGAGACCAAATAACTAAAATCTTAATCGCCCGAAACCTTTACCTTTAAGCCTCAAAAGAATTGCGCCTTGTCATAATAATGCCTCATTTAAACTTACAGCTTAAATTGACAAATAAAAAATATAAAAAAATGATGTCATGTTTGAATTGACACAACAAAATGCAAAAACAGGCGACAGTACTACTACATATATAAAAAAAAATTTTTTTGGTCAACTTATGGAAGATAAAATATACTCAGGCGTGGCTCCCAACCTATCCTAGGGCTATGCAATTTATTTTATCGCACCAAAAACTTATAAAAACCAAACCACCATCGATTGATGATAGGCTGTGTGCTTTTGTGTTGAGAAATCCTCTGATTACAAACATGATACAAAATACTAGAAATATACGTCTTAGCGGTACATGAAAGGTGAGAGACGAGTTTACATAATAATGAGGTTGTGTACCATTGTAAATTTATACATAAGAAATAATCTGGTAATAAAGGAAGTCTACCAAACTTTCTGCAATGTATACCCGTTTCGGACCCCTGCTGCTTGTTAACGGTACAAACGTAGATTTTGATCGACTCTAATACCATGAGGTGTTTGATAATATCTATTCTAAATGGAAGAAACTTTCTTTTTCTGGAGCATCTTTGGCATTAGTGTCGTATCGTTGAATAATTCATGTAGATCGAAAAGAAGATAAATGATTACGCAGGGACGAATAAAATGATGAAGGGTGTGGTGTACATTAGCATATACAAGGAATAGCAGCACAAAGGACATGCATATTGATATGCATGAATATACATATATGTATATATACATATATATATAAGACGACAAGATGTCGAAAAAAAAAAAAAAAAAAACTAATGGAAAACAATCAGATCAAAACAGAAATCGCCAAGAAATGAACTGAAGATTTTGTGGAGATTCGGTCGTCATGATTATCAAGTCTTTAGTTTTACCGTTAACGAAGTAGCTTTGGTATCCTCTTTTTGGCAAAGGACAAAATGACTTTTGCATCTTGATAATTGGTCGTTTCTCTTTGTGGTGTAGGAAAGCAATGGACAACAAAGGACAGTCTTACGAAGCGATGTTGGAGAATAGTACTGGCTTCAACAACCCAAACAACATTAAATATCTTTGCGACTTGATGGGTCTCGGTCAAGAAAACCACTCTAATATGGTTGGTTTGAGGTAAAGTATTGATCCTATATACTCATTTCTTTTTATTGTAGTTGATCGATTAAATTGTCTTACTTGTGATAAATAACCGTGAAAAAAATTAACACGTGTAACTGTGAAGAAAATTTTTTTTTTTTTGTTACAGAGAAAGATTCCCACCCAATGAATATGCATCCGAATTGAGGCAAGCGCAGGCTAGTAAGTGGGCATTCCGAAGCGTGGCCGAAGGTATAGATCATTTCAAGGCTGGACGTCACACAGAAGCCTTCCAGTGTCTCAATAAGGCACTTACCGTAGACCCGCGAAACGTCGAAGGTTTAGTGGCACGTGGAGCATTGTAAGTCGTAACTTGTATTTTAACATTTTAATTTATCCTAAATTACCTGTACTTTATACATATGCTTTACACGTACCTGTCTTTCTTGTTACAGATTTGCTAATAGCGGCAGTTTCAAGAAAGCGATCGATGATTTTGAGACAGCGTTGAAGTTGAATCAAACTCATACGAACGCTCGTAAATACATGGCTGAGACTCTGGTTGCTCTAGGTCGAAGTTATGAAGATGAAAAGAAGTACGAGGAAGCCCAAAAGGCGTACGAAAATTGTTTGGCGATTGCTCCATTCCACGAGGAAGCAAGAAACTCTATCGAGTATATCAAGTCTAAGACGTTAACATCTTCTTTGAATCCTTTGGATACATTCAAGAGTTTCGAAACTGAGAATGATGTCGGCGAAAACAAGAAAGAAAAGAAGAAACGCAAGAAGGAAAGAAAATCGCGTTCGAAGAAGAGACAAAGATGGAGTTCGAGTTCCAGTTCATCATCGAGTGGATCTTCGACTTCCAGTTCTTCTGAATCCAGCAGCTCTTCTTCATCCGCAAGTTCACGATCAGCATCCCGATCGCCTAGTCGCAAGCGGAAACATAAAAAAGATCATCGCGGTTCGCTTTCACCTCTCAGCAAGCGAATGGCCCAATACAACAATCCACCAGCTGCTACCACAGCTGCACACGACGTAATCGCTCCAGTGTCTTACAGCTCCAACACTCGCGACAAGATGGATGATTACGAGATTAAAGTACGGAAATTTCTAGAACAGACTAAAGACGACTCCGATTATGAAGATAAAGTAAGAATTACAATTTTTCTTTTTTTTTTTTGTAATCTATTTTATTTCTTTTTTTTGTAATTTGAGTGTTATTTTTCTTTTTACATTATAGGTTAGAAAATTCTTGGAAGAAACGGCTAGGTGGAAGAGGGAAAGGGAAAAGGAAAAAAAACATTCAGAGAGTGAGAAAATGAAGAAGAAGAAGAAAAAAGAAAAGAAAGGAAAAGACAAAGAGAAAGAGGATAAGAAAAGTAGGAAGAAGAAGAAGAAAGAAGAGCGAAAGAAACGCAAAAATAAGGACAAGCTTGAACGTGATTTAGAAGCCTTAAAAAAGTCTTCGTTGCCGGATTTAGAACAATTGGAATCAAAACTGAATGCGTATTATGCAAAAGTTGAAAAAGAGACTGCTGTCTTGAAAAGGTTGGAACCTTTATGGCCAGTTCGTGACCATCTTTTCCGTTTTGGTTGTTTAATTTTACGAAACTTTTGTCTCTATTCATAAAGATGATGTAGATACTGTTTTCGTTGCTGCAGTTAGCTTCTGTTCCCTTAGCTAATTTTCCGTGGTGAATCTAAGTTTTTAAAGATACATGGAAACGCGGGTTTTAACCTATCGTATTTTATTTATGTTTTTATATTTACTAGGTATGTAGCTCAGTATAATGACATAGCTTCCCCTCTTAGCAACGCGGAGAAGCTCGCTGAAAGTTCACGAAGGGAGGAAGAGCTGCGCAGAGAGAGGGAGAGGGAGAGAGATGAAGCTTCAAAGGCGTATCACGAACGGGAAGCTAGAGTACCAATGACCGCACAGCAACGTAAAGGTAAGAAATCGAATCGCGGCAGGTAAAAAGGGCGCAATCTGTAATTTCTATATCTAATACATACTCGTTTTATTTTACAATTTCTTTTTACAGAGATTCAAAGGAAACCACTGACAGACATATTTGAACAAGAATCGCAACTGATTCATCCTGAACCGAAGTTACCTACTCTCGACACAGCTGCATTAAATGCGAAATGGAAAGCTGCACAAGCTGCTAGGTAAGGAGTTTCTATCAACTGTGAAGTTGCATTTTAAGTTACATTTTATCAGGTATCAGTGTATCACATTTGAACGTGGTTGTTTTTTTTATTTGACAGACAAAAGGATGTTCTCCCACAAAAATGGCAAGATGTACCGCCAGAGAACAAAAAGATGCAATCCAATGTAGATAGCGACGAGGACGATGATAACGAGCTCGAAGAGAAATTGCAACGTGCGGCGTTGGAAAAATCCATGAACATACGCAAGCAAATGCAGCGTGAACTCGCAGAGAAGAGAGCAGCGGCCGCTCAGCCTATGTCCGCGCCGACTCCACCGCCATTGCCCAAAGAACCTCCGATGCCAAAACAGGCACCGGTAAAATATCCCACACCACAACCGCAGAACAAATTCCAGTCATACAAGGATCCTTCTATATCTGCACCGCAAACAACACCGACAAAGTTCAGTTCAAATAACAACCTTGGTGGCAAGTTTCAGCCGATTGGACAGAGCGGTAACAGTGGTGCTGGTCATCCACCAGAACCACCGCGTCCTCCTCCACCAGCGAAAAACCAAAATCAGGCCAAAGGACCCAGAACAGATTCTGACAGCGAGACAGAAAGACAACATAGACAGACGCCTAAGAAACGCGAGTCATCGGGCAGAGGAGGAGCTGTAACGAAACGAATGAGCAGAGACCGGCCGGCGAAACGTTCGCGCAGTAGATCGCGCAGTGCCTCCAGCTCAGGTTCTTCGAGGTCTCGTTCACCAAGAAGAAGTCGTTCAAGATCCTACTCAAACCGCAGATCCGGAAGTTACGAGAGAAAATACAGCCGGTCACCATCAGGCACTTACAGTAGATCACGTTCCAGATCGCGTTCTCGATCTTATACCAGGAGTCGTAGCCGCAGCAGGTCCGGTGATAGGAGTTACTATCGCAAGAGACAATTTCGGCCGTATAACAACCGCGGCACCTACTACAAGCCCCGTTTCCAGGGCTTCAATAATCCGAACCATCGTGGCGGTGGTAACAATTTCCAAAATCGTAACCGGTTCTATAATAATCAGCATAACAATCGCTTTGGCAATAGACGTGGCGGTGGCTTCAATAATCGTGGTGGTGGACGCGGACGTGGTGGTAATCGTGGCGGTCGATTTTTCCACGGTAAGCAGGGCTTCCGCGACTTCCGAGATAGGCGAGACTTCAGAGATCGTCGTGCCGCTTCCCGCGATAGATACAGCGATCGTAGTTACTCACCCGACCCGATGAGAAAGGTCGACGAAGCAAAGGAAAAGATCAACAAGATGCTCGAGGGCGGGGACGACGTGATGGAGCATCAGCAGGGTGGCGGAGGATCGAACGTTCCTCCGAGTAAAAGACAAGATGGGCCTTTGAGCGAAGGTGAAGAAAGGGACGACGATGACTACGAGAGGTGGGGAGAGGGCGAGGGGGGCGACACAGCTAATAAGGTTGGTTAGGTCTCTTCTGTGTAGGCTTTCGCGAAAGAATAGCCTATCTTCGTGATGACGATCTTGATAATCCGGATGATGATAATATGGAATAAATAATGAGGATAATGATGATGATGATGATGATGATGATAATGATGATGATGATGATGGTGATGATGGTGATGAGCCACACGTGCAAGAAACACGCGACCTAGGAGCCAACTAACTCTCATTTGTTGTTAGAATGAGGTCGGACCTGTCGACGATAACCTGGAAGGCAAGGAGTACTTCATTGAGCGCATGAAGCAGCGAAGCAAGAATGTTTTAATGCAGAGAACCCTTGCTGCTAAGGTTTGGTAGAAACCCCTGTTGCCGTTGCTGCTTCTTCGATTCTTCTCCTTCATCTGTGATATAGTTACGTCTCCTCAACGTTAAACATCGACCGGATCACGTGAGACATAGACTTCTTACTATGGTATTCTTATACCCAACGCTCTCGGTATATTTAAAGCAGAAAGTGTAGAGGGGATGTATCGTAAGGGAAAGCACATAACACAGCTGGTCATGACGATTGCGAGAAATGTACTTTTTTTTCCTTATGATACTCTTATTTCTATCAGAGAATTAGCAGTGAACGCGTAAAATACAAAGTAGTAATTATATTATCATAAAGAGTTGTGATCGATTAGCACAATCGATCATGAATATTTAGAGAGTAAATAATATACACATAAACGTGCGTTTCTCGCTAATTCAGTAACACATTTATATCGCGAATTTAAGAAATATTCACAAGTTTATGGCGCTCTCCCCTCCATCTTTTCTTTTTTTTAATCGCTAACAAAAAAATTTTTAAACATCTTTTGACATTAGTACTTATTTTTGTCTCGTAATATTTTTTCCCATTGCAACAAAACTGTTGTTCATAAGTATTAAGGAAGAAATTTAAAAAAAAAAAAAAAAAATGAAGCTTCTGTTGTATTTTCGAAGGGAAGTATTTGGTCGCTGTATCTGAATGTATGCGAGTGGCTTCTCATTATCATTCATTGTCATGATTGAAGAATCTTCAGAAAAAATAAAAAAAAAATAAAAAAAAAAAGGAAACGAGAAACGATGATTCACCTCCGGTCCGAAATGTTTCTCCGTATTGATTTATCGCAACTTTCGAGATAATTGTACCTCACGTTTTAAACTTTCTGCGTTCGATGAAAAGAAAAAGCTGTAATCATTTCACGGATATCGTCGATTTTCTGATGAAAAACCGTTGAATTGCGAATCGCCAACGCGAAGAAGAGACTCTCTCTTAGTAAGGAACATAGTTTTTTCCCCTCACGTCGAAGCATCCTTGAATTAATATTATTCATGATTGCTTTATTTCGGAACACACGTTATCACAGGCCCTCTCTTTATTACAGCAAAAAAAAAAAAAATATTTTAAGGTATCATACAAGTAATTTACCTAGTAAGACACTTATATATGTTGTATGTAAACATTGCTGTACAATTAAAAGAAGATCCGCAAATACATAACACGAAAATCTGGATGTCAGTGATTATTCTTCGACGCCTGCTTTTGCTTTTTTTTTTTTTTTTCGTTTGCAATTTACGTCAACGCACATGACGTTCCCCACGTTTGAGTTAGTAACACGAAACTGTAAGTCGGCGACTCGTTCGACACCTATTTGAAAATTTACGCCCGCATCAAGCTACATCAGCCAACAACTTGGTTTCATTTTTTTTATCTACGCCGATGCGCCACTTACCTCGTTCGGTGGTACGTTGCTTTATTTTGCACGATTAAAACTGGTTCTCTTATTGATAGTAGACCGATTTGGCTATCGCTGTGTCGCACTCGCCGACGGGTATTTAAACTTGCAGCCGCGAAAGTTACTTGCATTTCTTCGTTGCCACTGCGAGGAAAATGAAGCATTTACCGGTGCGTTTCGTTTTGCTTGTTTCGAATCTGTTTCTGCTCGACTACTCGGCCATGGTAACAGGAACGATACTCTTTAGTAAGTAACTCCTTTGAATCCTTTAATTCGCGGTTTTTCGATTAATTCAGAATTGTTTTAATGGACAAAGACAACGTTGAAGAGTTTGAGAATTTTTTTTTTTTTTTAACGGACAGAGTCATTTTCTTTGATTTTTTTTTAAGGACCCGAGCTCTTCGCCGACGACATCTGCGGGGAAAATGAAATTTTCAGTTATTGTTACGCGAATCCGAGTTGCGAAAAGAGTTGCGATAATATCGATGTCTGGGAGTCGGTGCCTTGCATCCGGACGAAAAATTGCTTGAGCGGTTGCATCTGCGAGCAAGGATACGTACGCGACAAGAGCCAAGGAATTTGCATTTTGGAGAACATGTGTCCGAGAGTCAGGCATTAGTCTCCGGACGAAGCCGATGGTTTGTGTCATTTGATTCAGTAGAGATATGTCGATTAATATATTCACATATATTAGAAGATATTAGAAAAAAAAAAAAAATATATGAAAAACTAATTGTACTTTATATTTCTTTCAACAATTCTCTTTCCTCTTGTTCATTGCTCCTTTTATTTGCGCGTGACAAGTAACGCACGTACGAAACAATTGTACTTTCGAGGAAAATAGCTTGTATTCTGATCCCGAAACGATTTTTCGCAGCGGCGTGAATAAGAGATGCGTAGACGCATTTTGGTGGAAGCTGGTGGGGGAATGTGGCGGCGCGCGATATGATAGCATTTTGAGATGGTTCAGTTCCGCGCCGTCTCACGTGCGCGACACATTTCGACAAACGTGGAATCGTCGGTGTAATAAATCGTGCGAAACACGTACCGTTAAATTAATTTTGTTTTCTCATCGTCGCCCACTCAGTGATAACACTTGCTAGCCCATTTGTTCATTTCCCGTTTGGTTTAAAATCTTTTACACGTTTGCCCTTTCCGAATACTTTTTCCTGTTTTTTTTTTTTTTCTTTTTGTTATCGCGATTCGTTAGACGATAGAAATATAGTGTAAATCGAGTGCTTCTGGATACAGTGCCACACGGATAAGAGAATCCAGCGGATCAGCCGTTTTCACACGTAAGTTTCGCAACTGATTGAAACACGTCGTCGATGATATTTTTATCGTTACGAGTGGCTGATCGCGCGAAATGTTCGAAACGAGTCCTTTATTAAAGTTCAATTACGAGCGCAGCGGTGACCGTGATTATTCTTGATCGAGCAGTCGAAAAAAAAGAAAAAAAAAAAAAGAAGGCTGCGGCCACCTCGATCGAGCATCCCCGTGGGTCCACGTCCATTGTGATTTTAATAAGCCTTATGCAAATTACAAATGAAATTGTCAGCGGCAGGCCCGCGGTCCATTCTTCGTCGTTGATGGGGACAATTAGAAGAGCTTTGTCCGGCGACCACGCGTTGTCCGGCTGCTCGGCAACTTGAGTCCCAACGAGAAGACCGCCCGCCAACCCCTAATGTTTGTATCCGGTCCCCAGGACGTTCACTTCCGAGTGATCCCGGAGTCTCTCCCCGCTTGCTGACCATCGATTTCTTCGGCTCTTTGCTACTAATCGACCAAGCGGTTTGAACCAGTGTGCAACCGTTGGGAGATTTTATTATTTTATCGATACGAAATTTTAGAAGGGACTGAATATTCTGCGTTTAAAAAAGTAATGCAGTAAAGGAGACAGAAGAAGAAAGAAGCTCTTTCGCTGCTATATTTCAAAAAACAAGGTACTTAAATTCCATCTAAAAAAAGAAGAAAAAAAAAACGAACGATAATTTCGTACTAACGACGATATTTTACGATTCCGTTTATCCAAGAAGGAACATTCAAAGACTTCTGTCTTGTTTCTGGGAGAATGCAGGAACATCGGCGGACACGGATCGTTGGATTCTCGCAATCGAAGACGAGGGAGAGAGAAAGAGAGAGAGAGAGAGAGAGAGAGGTGAAGCAGCAGAAGTCACGAGGCTGGGCAGAAAAGCGGAAGAGTTGGCGGGAGGATGGTTGGAAATCGAACGGAATCATGGAGGCTGCTGGAGGTCGATGGTTTGGGGTGGAGATAAGTTTTTACGGTAGGGTTACTAACTTACGGACTCGGCATTGTCGAGTTCCCGGTGACGGGAGGACAATGCGCGTTCGGGACACAATGCTTCACTCTGGAATCTGAAGGCAGTCTTGACTATCAACCTGCAACCACCCCTCGCATCTGTGTCTACCAATACTTGCCCCTCTTGCACATACCACCCTTCTATTGCCAACCGCGTCTTCGCTAGCTCCCCCCCCCCCTCCCTTCCTCCCCCCGCGAGCGTCCATACTTTCTCATACTGTCATCCTTGGTTCTCGTCGCGAGGCTCAGCCGAAAAAACCGTATTCCTTTGTCATCTTCGACTTTGGGGGCGTAGTAACGAGGTGCGTTTAATTCCACGTGTTATATAACATTTTCTCAATTCTTCGTGATTCTGCGTTCGGTTGGACTGGACGACGATTTTATTCAAGTTGGTTTCGTACATATATTTTTACTTTACCCTAGGCTTGAAGCCAAGTGCAGATTTGGCGGAGTGTAAATGTTTCGAAGATTGCGCGCGATTGTCAACTGTTTTTAATCACGTGAATAAATTAAGAGCGGGGATAAATAAGCAAACTCGTGAAAAATAAGAGAAGATGAGGTCATCGACTAAATGGCTGAAGATTTAATTATTAGTAACGAAGTATATATTGGAAACTTACAACGCAATATTTCATTTTACCACGTCGAACATGTAAGAAAATTTACAGTGGAAAAGACACGCGCAAGTGATCGCTCGTCTCGCAGCTAGCGTCGAAAAAGTCAAGGTTATGGACGAAGGATGTAAAGAACCCGGGAACAGATGGTCTTCTCTGTTCGATAAGATGGCGATCGCGTTCTCGCGATCGTTGCAACTTGGCTGGCGTGGCGATCAAAGCGAGGTAGAGACGAAGCGAAGGAAGAGGCAACGGAACGCGGTGGAAAAGACGCGGCAAAGACGAGGCGCGAGCGAAGACGAGAAGGACGAATGAAAGAGGGTGGCATGAAGAAGGGGAGGCCGTGGAGAACAAGGGACAGACGGCCGAGCATTTCAATCGCTCTTAGGCTCTCTCTTTGGCTTGGCTTTTCCGTTCCTTTCTCGCACAAAAGCTACATTGTTTCGTCCCTACGTTCATATGGACGCGAGGCGAAAATACTCTCCTCTTTTCTGCGCCGGCAGCACGGATACAACCGAAAAGCAGGCCGCAGACAGACACACATGCCGTACGTGACACACGTATGCCAAAAGCAACAACCAACGTCGCCTACCATCGTCAGCATCGTTCGCCTGGCATACAATCCTTTCTCGTACATTCAATGCTCGTCGCCCACTCGGTATCCTTTTGTCGCTGTTTATAGCTCTATAGGCCCCCGGGTGTTCCACCGTCCCGAGTACTTTTCCAGCTTAATTCTGTATCGTCTAACTGGACCGTGGAAAGGATCGTCTGTTGGTCAGGAAACCGTGCAATCCGCGAATTCGCCGGGCTCTTTCTGCGAGTCTTTTTGCGCTCGCCGGCCGGATTATCTGGTGGATTCGCTTCGAACGTCGAATGCGGAGAGAGAAAGAGTTTCGCACGTACGATATCTTTGGCCAGCTTGAAAATACTGGCAACTAGATCGAGATGAGAAAGTAAAAGTACATACGCGATCACGACGTGACATTTCCCTTAACCACTCGCGCTGGCGACTGATTGCGGACCATAACGAGCGGCCAAACCGTATACAATAATTCGTCACTCTCTTTTCGAACTCGTCGGCATGATATCACTGGTTAGAAATTATTGAGAAGTAATGAATTTATCATTTGTTTTGCCTGCTTTGTTTTACTCAAATACTATACGTAAAACTGAGAAAATATTACAATTTTGGAACAGAAAATTCTCGACTATGTGTGAGAGAGTGTATCTGTCGAAACTAGAGACAATGTCTGATCAGGACGTTCCGATACTCCTTAACCTCTTGGGTGAAATCACGGTTTAACAGTCTCCTTTCGCACGGTCTGTCAGTTTCTGTTTAAAATCAGCATATTGAATTAATCAATGGAGATCTTTAGTGTTGATATTCGATATCAATCACAGTGACATGCACTTCTGCTATGGTTTTACGCTACTATAATACTATAAAGCAGATTGTTCATATCTTACAAACTTCGTTCATTTTGATCATTGTCAAGGCTTTATAACGAAATTGGAGGAACGTAACACGTTTTATTACCATATTTTAGACACTTTATGTAGAACGAAGCTGAATTTTCTAACGTGATAAATATTTCAATAGAAATACAACCCTTCTGGTATTTATTAAAACATTAAAAGGAATTTAGCCTTCATTTTCTGATTTTGATATCCCGGGCTATAGACGGGTTCAATCAAAACCTATTTCTTATCCATCTTCGATAGGAGAGGCAATAGGTGTGTCTGGCCATGAACGTCCACACTCCCTGAAAGATAGCAGCCGCTTGCCAGCATTAACACGAATTATTTCCGACGTATAATCCTAATCGAAGTTTGACGTAAGGAAGAATAGTATTTGTCCCAACCACTTGTGGCTCTCTGGAAAATCCCCTTAACCGTACTGACCGAGATTATTTTCATCCTTCTGGCTTCGAGAGCCTTCACTTTGGGTAGCATACGTGCCCTGGTCGTCAAACTACCCTAAAAGAGTGAGAAGAGAAAGGCTTTTCCTGTCTCTCCCCGGAACGAGCACTAATTGCAAATGATGAAATCGAAACGGTACAATCAGACGTTTGTGCGAACTACTAGCACGAAGAATTATTTTCTCGACGACGGTCATCGTTCTTGCAGGAAAGATCGCAGGAACCTCGCCGAGCTTAGAACGCTTTGGAGGCGGATACAGCAAGAGTGTCCTGCACTCTATTGATAAACTCTCTTTCAATAGACGCGGATGCTGGCCCCGCTGTTGAGTATCGATAATATTGAAACCCTGAATGCCGTTCGGTTGAATGTCACAATGCGCTCCAGTGATTAATAGACTTCCGCGACTTTTATCGAAATAAGATGTTGCTTTCTGACGCGCGCTGTCGAGAAAGCACACACTGCACCACCGAGAGAAAGAGAGGGAGAGAACTTTGCCTGGAAATTTCACGTTTCCCAGAATCCCAACAAGTGTCTCTCGTTTAACGAACAATTTTCAAGTTATCCGAAAATGTTCGCATCGTAAAATTACACCGTCGATCAGAGAACTTTGGCGAACTTCAAACTTCATTTTCGAGGATTGGATGTTTCATAGATGTTAATCGACAACACTCGCCACATTTGTTTAAAATTAATTCAGAATTCGAAAGCAATGTTTCTGCTAATCCACGTTCGACAGTGAGTTGGTTCAAGTGTCGTTACAGTGAAAGTACTCAGTGTCTCGAAGGGAACCTGAGGATCTAAGAGCAACGATTACAACGTTCTACGAACATTTGAAGAAATTTTTCATTCTCCACCATCGTCAAGGTGTGAGAATGGCCGATCGTTCGGA